CTCGGCCGCGTTTGCCGCGGCCGCGCCCAAATGTTAGGTATTGTCCGGGAGCCCTAGATGGGCTACAGTCCCCTGGCTCACGAATTCCCTTTCTCGTGACCCTATAGTAGTGAGCAGACTTAGGCTGCTTTCATAGCCTGCGCCGTTCGCGGACGCTGTGCGCGCGGTCCCTGCGGACCGCGGAGCGAACACCGCACTGGCGCATGACGCACAAGGCGTCGCTGCGCCTAGTACGCGTTGAGCGCCAGAGCGCGTGTTGACGCTCTTCGCCTACCATATTCGAAAAATACGATGTGCCCAAATTGTACTGTGCCAAAATATGAAATAATATCGAATGTTTTCGTAAAAACAAGACAAAAGAAGAAAGTTCTGCCGTTGTGACGAAAATAAGAGGGATTGCGAACCCTACTCTTGGTGGGAGCGCTTGACCCGTACCGGCGAACATGACCACGAGGCTAATAATTTAGCAAATAGCAAGCTTATAACAAAAGCAGCTTCGAGGCTTAGGCCGGGATTGTGGTCAAGAGATAGTTTGCACAAGCGTATTCCATGGGTTTACGGCATGTAACAACCACAATCAATCGGTCGATGTGCGATAGTTCATTAACCGTATATAGGGCCACTTGAAATGAAACGCTTGTTTGAATCGAAAAATTGAAAAAAGAAGCTGGCACTGGCGCCGTTAGAGGGGGGGAAGCATCTCCATATGGGCCCAGCATTTTTGAAATACTTTCCCCCACTGTAAACGTTCATAGCGGCTAAAAAATATTCTCATTGAGGAAAAAAAAACACTAAAAAAACTTAAAACTTATGGCGACCTAGTTTTGAGCAGAATTTCATCTGGCAATAGCCTCCCACGCTAAGTGGAATCCGGGTTCCCCATCCCTTTTCATCTACAGAGCTTAAAAGCACAAACACCACGCTGACGACAAAGCGCGTTTTGACCATTTTCTCCACGTTGGTCAGGCGCGATTTCGCTGGCGCGGCGGCCGCGGGCCACATGAATTCCGCGCTTCCTCTGAATGTGCGTTTTTTGGAGCACGGAAAAGAAAAGGACCTGCAGCACAGTTAAGCACATAGAATGGTAAGTTGTTTAGCGAAAAACCACTATGAACAAACATATTAAGATGAAAAAAAGGTTAGGTCAGTAATAGTGAGCGAGAACTACCACAGGTCTAGTACATAACATGAACCTGTAGTCTGAGGAGGAAAAAAAGCGGGAAAAAAATAAAGTTTTGAGTCGGTCCATCGATGCCTCAAAAAAGCAGGGTTAAACATGGTGTGACAAAAAAATTGGTTTGAACACAATCACATCATCAAAACGAAGAAGTGTTTAAAATATGCTGCATAGTACATACATACAGTAGAGGTAAGCAAACCAGCCCTTTTGGCGTTTCGGCTGGGACCGTATGCTGAATGTTGGGGAGGGGATGGGGTCCCCAACGGTCGACGGTTTACTTCAACTCGGTTGGTACGATAGGAGAGTACTGACGCAAGTGG